ACTTGCCATAAAAATTATTATCACTGAGAAAATAAATACTATTATTTGCAAACGTTTCAACTAACATAAGCGATAGTAAAATATTTTCTTTTTTTACAATAAAATGTATCATAAATTCAAACGTGAGTCAATCAAAACATTCAGCGTAGTAATCTTTGAGGATGGATGATTTGTGCTCGCATGTGCATTGTTACTTTCACCTAAACTTACTAAACTACAATTTTGACAATTTGCGTAAAACCGGAATCGAGACGAAGGCTGCCAACCGACTACCCAATGGAGGATCGTCTCGTTCCGCTTTACACAAAGTCCAACACATAATTTTTCCATTTTAAACTCAACATCAGTCATTGAATGCAGTAAAATCATTGCATGTATTATAAGAAAAATATTTCAAAAATTAAGTGAAACACCAACGTTCTGTGCAGAGTTCACTTAAGCGAATTAATGAAATTCAACAATGATACAACATCGCCGCATCCTATAATTACTTACAAGCGATGGTAGAAAAATATTATAATAAATTATAAAAATATCAGAAAAATTAATACAATTCCTGAGCAATTAAAAACGTCTGCGGACGTCGACGTTCGATCAACTTGTCTACTATATACATTTAATGCACACTTAGCTTCGACTTTTACATAAAAAATGAAGTAGTATTACCGGAAGTAGATTGGGCCAGTTCGGAGTTAGCAAACGAACGCACAAGCATCAATCTTATTTACACGTAATATCATTAAGTATTGTAAATTCAACGATGCACTACGTAATATAAAGTGATCATATCATACAATCCGACAAGCTAACATCAAATACATTATTCTCTACATTGATGAATATATTAACAGGTGAATTTATTATCGTTATATACGAAATTATTGAATTTCAAACAAACTCTTAAAATTATCGATATGGTTAAGTCCTAAGTCGAGTCTAATCCTGGCGAATTCGGGTGTCAATCAACAAACCGGATCATTTTGTAATCACTTTTCAAATAACTTGCTTTCCTAGTAACATCTTACTGAAATTAAGATACCTATCGTTGAATCATAATTTTCATTATAAAAATACACACTCTCACACTATGTAATCAACTTTTAATTCATCTAACCGAAACATGCCCATCTCGTACTCTTCCCGGCACGCCTTAAAACTAAACTAACCAACATATATACATTTTTGCACACTTCCTGATTGAGGTGGATTTAATCTTGCGCTAAATCATTATACAATGGGGTCAATAATCAAGCTTGAAATTTCATCAATGATCATCGAAGACAAACGTCAAACTTTTTCATTCTAACTGAAAGGCTATCGTATGTGCCGAATATTGTATGACTTATGTATCATTTAAGACTATTAATAGGAATGAATAGTTTAACAACATTTAGGTGTGAGAATTAATCGAGTGAAAAAAGCAGATGAGTGGAGCCTAGAAATATAAAAATAACATTGCTGATGTGTTAAGTCTTAATTTTAGTCTTAGAGTGAGCTGAGTATAAAATTATAAACAATTTTGTAAGCCTAACTGTGCTTACTGTACTAGTAGGTGCTAGTTAGTAAAATGTTCCCTAGAGTAATTGACTTGGAAATAGTGGTTTAGGTCATAAAACGTACGTGCTGAGAAAGAATCAAATAAGCTCCGTCTGGCTTTAACGTTAGACGTCACCTTAGACGTAGTCATACGGAACTCTTATTTTAACATAGATTAACATTCTTAATTATAGCCCGGCCTCATACGGATGTGGTTTTGAGACCTCGATAGAGTATCCACCGCCTAATGCACTGAGATGCTACGTGAGTATAGTTTTATTTAATACTACGTTGCAAGCTTTAAATGTGCAGCAATTCCTAATTGATTAAAGAAACAAAAAATGGTGCTCATCTTATTGTGTATTTAAATCTAAATTAATACTTACTAATTTCATGCCAATGTTTGTTCCCCAACACCAACTGTATCAAATGAATTCTTATAAAAATGCACACACACACACACACAAGAACCCCAAATTATAAAACTCACTCGTGGTTCCTACAACCGGTTGTTTGTGCTACCGAACCCTGTTTTTTAAGTTTATTTGAGATTGATAGAAATTTAAAGGTACAGTGCTGAAAGCGAATTCGGCAAGAGAGAAACGTGACAAAGTTTATGAATGTTTAGTAGTAAGGCACAGACGTTTTGTTTGGGGGATTCGATAGCACAAACCTGATTGAGCTAGCACTGTGTTAGATGGACTAGCACAGTGGTAACTACGGTCGAATACTGAGCAGCACTACTTGGGCAAAGCAAAAATAAAACACACAGTCAAACTGCAAAGAACTGGTATTATTATAAAAAAGCAAGTATACAACAAAAATAATTCAAAACAAAACGACGTACATTAATTTAAAGAACAATTGTTTATACAAATACTTAAAAAAATATAATAATTATAACAACAAACATTGACAAAATATATTTAAAGACAAAACATGTTTCAAATTTAATCAGTCCTTAAGCTTCAGAAATGCAATTTTTAAGAATGAACGATTTACTCTTAAATATTTTTGTGTTCTATTATGCTAAATCACAAACTTAGTCATTTGTGAACAAAAATAATACAAACTTAAAACACGTCTTTTGAAAAACAAAACTAAATAATTACTGTAAAATCAAAAAATAATAAAAACTGGATTACATACATAACGGGAGCAGTTGTCATAAGTTGCATAATCTTACATAGAATTTCGATATACTAAGTTATAGGTACTTAATATAAATATATTACGTGAATCCTTTTTAATTAAGTAAAAGCGTATGTTTTATCAAAGACCGATCGTTCGTGGGTAACGCGATGACTGAACGTTCCGGTCTAATCCTAAGAGATTTATTTAAACCGATAGTTCCTAGTGTGACTTTTATTCATTGTATCTAAACAAATATTTGGATCTCGTAATGATTGAATTGTCATTGATCAAAAAAGAAACATTATCGGTTTAAATCAAGCTTACCATAATGAGTGCAGTAGATTAAAAGAAATAAAATTCTGAAAGCCATCTTTAGAACGGAATAATTTACTAGGAACAGACGCTATACGTTAAATCATTGGTGATCAATCACTGCAATTTAGATTCTAAAGAATGGATCCAAAACTCTATTTCGCCTAATCTAGTGACAGAATCGGATGGAGTTAGATCGAAGCCACGTCAAATATGATTCCATTGAAAGCACCGTGGACTGCTAAATGCAGACAATTAAATAATCCCGAGAACCTTTCAGAAACTTTAATGCAAATTTGCGAACAATAATGTCTTACGTGCGAAATAAGTGTAAAAATCATAAAGCCTTTTTAAGCAATTCATTGCATTATTGACCAAGTAATTTGCACAAGTAGTAGTGAAAAAATTCGATAAACTTATGTATAAAATTCGGTACAAAGATATTATGGTACATATTTACAAACAACACTTAATATCACTTAATACATCACAACATGGTTGTATGGCACATGTAAAGCAGGTATTGCGAGATACCAGCAAAGGTCATAGTGGCGTGGCTTCAATCGTTCTACGGGCGTGCGAGTCCTACTCTAGTGTTTTATTCAGATCAAACATTAAGCGGCAGATCTGATTATTGTCATAGATTCAGCAAACTACAAAAAATATAACTAAAAAAATGAAAACTAATGAAAAATCGAGCTAAAATAATTCCTCTAACACACTCAAACACGCGGTAAAGTAGTAATCTAACGATAGCATAATATTCGTAAAATAAGAAAAATAAACGTTACACATGCACCGTAAACTAATAATGCTACAAAAATAAAGTTGTTTTCGTATAAAAATATCTTACTAGAATTAACAGGTTTGTAAGACGTATCAAGTAAGCTATAATACTTCAGTGAGCGGCAAAGTGCGTCACTGTTAAAATCTCGAAAAATAGTTAAATCAAAAATCTAGCGAAACGAACCTTCACTAAGTGCTCTACTAGTTACTACCGTGTTTAATTAATATAAAATACCTACTTAAGTTTTGTATAAAAACGAATAATATTATATCAACCAAATGTTACTAATTGTAATAAAAACAACGAAATTGAGGAATTTATGGATCCGTGGGCTCTCAGTGACTAGGCGGTAATGACGTCATATCTGTAGTCCTAACAGTATTCCAATACTCAAAATCAAAAACAACCATTTTCAAATGCTTTATAATACTCTAAGTTATTATCATTCCAAGGACTGGCGCAACTCACTTCTCGTGTGATGTCTGGTAGATCTCTAGTTGTATTAACCGAACGTTTGATCTATCCGTACTTTAAGAAACGCCGCAGTCAACTTTGTCATTGATAAAACCCCTAACATCACTTTCCCTAATTTTTGTAACTACATTAAAAAGGGGGTAGTAACTAAAGGTTGTCCATTTTAGTTTAATTCCATTTAACACTTACCTAAGAATATGTAACAACTTCTTAATTAGATTCATAATTATTTTTCCATCGACACAGAATAAGTGCTAATTCAAAACAGGAAGTGCCATTGTGCCGAAGAATATCCTTAAAACTAACAACAATACCACTCGATGCTCTCTTAATTCAATAAAATCACTCGCTTAACGCCTAACAATTTTAAGTAATAATAGTTAAAATATTGGTCCAACAAATGGGCTAAATAATACAAACGCCCGTAATATTCATCCCTAATTTAACGACGTGGGATATGGAAAAATATTATTCATAGATCAAAAATGATTCAGTCGATATTTTCGGCTCCAACCAACGAACTCATAAACTCCGCTTGGGGTGGGACTTATATAACAATGTAATGCTAAAACTAATCTCATTAAGTTTCGTTTAAAAAAGGAAAAAACAACAAACCTCCCCCGACCCAGGCGTCGTCGCCTCGGCGGAGGGCTAACGGTCAAGTGATCACATCGAGTCAGCCGCAAACGTAGTTATTTCTTATATTCCACTTCAACAGTCACTTTGTAATAAAAATTGACACATACGGCCCGAAATGTTAACTTTTCTTTTTGGCTTTAAGTGTCGCCGGAAGTTCCCGACTGCGCTGGGGTTGAGTGAGGTCGGGGGTGAAAAGGGGGCATGACGACGGGCGGTAATCTTTGCTCGCGAGCACTACCGAGCCGTCGTCCATGAGAGCTACGTCGAAGCATTGAGCGTGTTTTACTTTACTTTCTAAAGCCGATACCAACTGTCCGTCTTGAGTGAATATTGTTAGGTTGAAGTTGTTGTGATTGTCGGCGATTAAGATTTCGCCGGCGGCATTGATGCCCACGCCTATCGGGTAGTTGGTCACTCCTTCTCCTCCGATCTGTCGTAAGTAAATGCCTTCGTAGTTGAAGACTTTGACGCAATGCGCGCGGTTGTCACTAATGAATATTTCTTGTTTGTCGTTCACCACAACGCCGTTGGGAAATTCTAAATGTTTTGAGCATCCAAATTTCTGCAGAACGTTTCCTACTTGGTCAAAGATAATGACACGCATAACTTTACATTCCACGACGACGATTCGTCCTTTGTTATCCACGGTGACACCGCGGGGGTGTTGAAGAATATTGGCACCGAATTTCCGTACAAATTGTCCATACTGATTGTAAATTTGTATTTGGTGTGTCGGCGATCTTTCTGTTACGATAATATCTCCAGAGGTTCGGACAACGGCCACCCTATTAGGGTACAATAGCTGTCCATCTCGTTTGCCACACTCGCCAAATTGAAACTTAAAGCGGCCCTCTTTGTCGAAAATCTGAATTCGGTGATTGTTAGTATCGGCGACAATTATGTCGTTTTGAGCATTGACAGCGACTCCGCTCGGTTCTGTGAATTGGCCTTCCATCACACCGAACTCACCGAATTTACAGTGATATATCATCTTTTGCCGTTTGATCTGTGATTTTGGAGGGAATATGGCAGTGGATATTAATTTGTTTGTCAAATCTAAAATTGGATCTGAATGAGCGGCAGCAGAAAGAGAATATGGGTCCGATGTGGCAGGAGGGAACAGCGTGTCACATCCTCCATTTGACCATTTTTCGTATGGGTTTATGCCGTTTAAGTTGATATCTCCAATAGCAGAAGAGAAAGGCCCGAGAGAGCTACCACTTGTAAAACGTTTGGAGATAATGTTCGTATCAAACGGAGATGTTGATTGGCTCGTAGGACCGAGAAGTCCATTCGAGTAAGGTCTGTCTAAAACACCATTTAATCCAGTCGGTAGGTGAATACCACCGTTAAGGCTTCCTGAGCTTCCATTTACGCTGCTGCTGCTCGAGGAAGATCCGCCATTCAACAAAGAACCGTTGGTGGGACGAGCAATTGGTGGTTGTTTGGTAGGACCGACGTTCGCTTCAGAACTAGAGCGAACGTAACCGAAAGTGTTCCTTACGCCGACTTGTATCGCTTGATAATTCGATACAAATTCGAGTTCGCAAGCAGTTTGTACACTTTGTTCCGGGTTTGTGCTAATTAAAGATTGCAGTTTAGTATCTAAGAGTTTTCTAAACATCAATATTTCGGCGATGTTGGCGCATTTCGTTAACCTTTCGACGAAATCGCATGTTTGATATATTTTATCTACAGTTTCTTGAGCTTTCTGTCCCACGACAGTGAGAGCAATTTGTTTTGTCGAGAAAACACTTTCCAGTTCCTTCAGCAACTCCTGTCTACGCTCTTCTAGCATAGAGCGGTAGAATTGGAAGGTGTCGTTAATTTCATTTTGAGCTTTATGATATTGAACTTGAAGTTTACCAGCAGCATGTTCTACCGTCTTCACAACGTGTCTTATTTCTGTTGCACGTGTTTTAGCTTCATTTACTGCTTGCTGCATGAGTTCAAGTTGTTTAGGCCCGGCATCCGACAAATGTTCACAGTCGTGTAGCGCCGCGGGGTGTTCGATAATAGTACATTCTTTGCACACTGGCACGGAACAAGTGCGACAAAAGTATTTCAGAATATCATTTTTGTGTCTCGGGCAGAATGCGGTTTTATCACCGCTCGACGAGAGCGTCGAGTTAAGAAGACCTTTATCATCTTTTAGGTCCGTGAAGGCCAGCACACGATGACCTTCAAAGCAATGCATAAATTGGTGAGCCATGACGCAATTGGGGCACAGGAAGTTAGCGCAATCTACACAGCGCGCTACAGCGTCGGATTCCTTAGATTTGCAGCCAGTACAGGGCGCAGTGGGCGAATTAGTCTGACGTCCGGACGGCAGAAGATCAGCGTCCTGTTCGACGGCTGCTGCGATCACTAGGTTTGTGAGGAGTCCAGGTACACCGGCTGGGGACAGGTGACTATCCACACGGCAAGTGACGCAAGTTACTTTGTCGGGGTGGGTTTGTTCTCGCTCGAGGCAACCTCTGCAGAAGGTGTGGAAGCAGTTGAGAACTTTAGGGTCAACGAATGTCTCTCGGCAAATAGCACAGGTGGTGTCTAGACCGTCGAATTCGCGAAGATCACATACGGCGGAGTCACTCGCGGGAGGCGAGGAGCCGCTCAAAGTCAGTGGTGATAAGGAGCCACGCTCCAGCGAACCTATAGAGTTGGCACCGGGCAGCGACTCAAGGGACGGGGTGCGTGAGGCCATCTTCAGGACACCGGCATCCCTGAAATTACAAAACATAACAATATAACTAAAAAACATCCCATAAAACTTCATACTATACTTATATTTTTAATTAAGGACATTGTGTACGGGAATGTTAATTTATTACAAAATATACCTAGAGAGTCTAAGGAAATAAGTTATATTTAGGAGTATAGCCTTGTCGCGTTAAGGAAAATGGCGATGTTTGAATTTCTCGTATAAGATACCGTGCGGCGTAACAGATGGGGAAATGGTACATCCTCGCAAATGGGTATTCTTAAGCTATATTCGATAGATATATTGAGTGTATATTTACTGAATATTATGTGCGTACAAATAGGCTCGTCTCTTTAATGCCCCGTCATAATAAATGTCACTTTTTATTAAAGATAAGACTAGCGTATCAAGAGGCAAGTTCATAGTTTCCTCACAGCGTGAAGCTATCGCCATAAATATAAGAGATTATCTTTTATATTTCAATTTTAAGATAAAGCACCTTACAGGTGGCTGCAAACTGCGGGCTGTTTAATGATAATTTATGTTTGAAAACTTGCCAGACTATATTAGGCTATATTAAAAGATAAATTCGCTGATAGTAAATTTAATTACCCTTAACTTTATTTATAATATGTTGTAAAAATATTTGGTTATAGGCATTTTCCTGAAATAACAAGTTTTACTTAAAATTGATTTATGTCAACCCTAATATTATAATTAAATATCTTAAATCGGCAAAGATGGAATCATTTTCATTTTTGAAGTAATTTAGACGAATAAAACATGTAACAATATGTCTGTTAAGTAAGAAAGCCGTCGCCTAATTTAATATTATACAAAGTCAACTTGACCAGTCAGAGGCTGGATTTAGGCATTAAACGAGGTATCTACTTAGGTAAACAGACTTAAGAGTCTGTTAATTCTGATGTTTCAATACAAAACATTTGTGCAGTTTGAGGTGCCTATGCACTTGAAGGGGAGTCCGTGGCCATGGCAACGGCGAGGGGATACTCGTCGAATTAGGGTGAGGGTGGTTATTTCGCAAGGGGCGATATTTGCAAGGTGAATGGCCTTGCAACGTGACTAATGTGTTCGGGGGTCGAATCATGGCGTCTCGTAACACGGCGCGAACCCAAACTTATTTCGAAAAGATACGACTTATTTCGTAAGTTGAATTTTTTGTTTCATAGAGAAGTTTCAAAGATGTCATAGAAAACTGTTGATACTTCTACAACTAATATTTATAAACATCATATTTTACTCTACTATCGTGTTTGCACGTCTTTTCGTATTGAACAAGCTTTAAACGGTTAATGGCTATAGTGAGATATAATATTGAATAAATTAATTAACTATATTTTAACTATATTTAGGTAGAGATAGATAGAGAACAGCTTCTGTAATAAATTTAGTGTACCATTCCTTCCCTTCCAAGACTTCAGGAATAAGTTGGGGTCTGAAAATGCCATAAGTAAGCCTACCCCAAATAACTGCTTAGTCCTACCAACAATATATTACTTTCCCAGACTACAAATTTAAGTCTTACGGAAGTTTCACTTGTAGGCGTGTTACGCATCCCTTTACAAATGTCGTAAGTACTGGTTATAAAAAAAAACTATTAAAAACAGCCATTAACATCATATGTATATGTGTAAAAATTTAATCAGATAACAATGCGTATAGAAAAATTATATAAAGTATTAGAACAAATAGGAATATTAGGATGCTTACATATAGTACTGTCGACAAGCAACCGAGCGTATATCACGTGACTATATATTTACATAGATACAACTTGGAGCTCCATCGACTTCTATAGGGTTGTACAATTCTTTTAATTGTAAGCGTACCTGCCTGCAGCCTGAAGTACGCACATGAATTTCCTTAGACAAAGGTTGTATAATAAACGATTATTTTCTATATTGCCAGCCCGTCTTTTATGTTTACACGACTACTTAATGAGGTAGTTATTTCCATTTTAAATAATATACTTAATACGCAAGACAATAAATTACCTAAATATATGGTTTTTCGTAACTTTCAGCAGTACAACATATTGGTTTTTCAGCATTTATGAGTTTCTACAATATTATTAAAAGCATAGATTTGTCAACCCTAGCTTGGTTAGAGGAATTTCGGCTAGGGCTGCAACCGGTCATAGATTACTATCCCCCGTGACGTGACAGAGCGATCGGCCGCATACATAATGACTGTCCGTTTGTATGTAGCTTCCTTCACCGGTTATACATCAACGTGATATAGGGATCTCAATCTGTGCCTATAAGCTTCCGCCTTTCTGGAACTTATCCGCATCCATCCTATATTAAGACTTCCAATTGATCCAAAACCAAAGTATTAATGAACTTAGTTAAAGTCTCTCATTTTGTTTACATATTCTGTAAAAGCGTTATACAATATTTGAATTGTTATCGATCGCTGAATGAATAGCTTCATCAAATCAGATCCGCACACAAATGCCTTAAGACCATCACTATCAGTATCAAAGCGGTTCTACAATGCAAGAGGCCGTATGCAGAGGTTGCATAATACATCGTTGCGTAGACAAAGCTTCATGCTTGACACGGCAAAAGCTAACAGCCATTAGTGATAGAATGACAGACTCATGCATATACGTTCAATTTACATGTCTCTAATGCTATGTTCCAGCTCGCATAGAATACATTAGGCGTAATATTTAATTGTGCAATTATTGCGAACCTATGTGACACGTATTTTACTTATTATTGAATACACAGCTTTACAAAGTAATAGAAGCCAGCTATGAGCTATCAATAAACTTGGTACACCTTTCCCGAAGATTCCCCGTCAACAATAGGGCGCAATTCCCAACAATTGCCAGCTCGATACGAACGCTCGGCTAAATTGCCTCACTGGCATACTATTCTGATTTACCTCCTCGAGAATAAGATACAAGATTGGACTGCTTTTACGATTTGTGAAATGTATGTGCCAAACAATGTATTTGTTATTACTGAAATCTTGCCGACGCCTCTGACATTGTATGCCGGAATTGTTCTTACAAAACCTTAAGGATCTTTTAAATTTGAAAAGTTTGGAGTAAAAAAATAATAAAGTACATTCCATGTGAAATAAAATCACTTGAATTCTGCTCAAGCCTGTTACATCCGAACAAATTCTTATTTGTTTGGTCTCACGTTTAATGAAATCCGTTATATCCTCAAAGCTGGATTTAACATCCAAAATCCGACGTCCTATATTATTTATGAGGTTAATTTCAGAAACCTCGAAGACTACCGACATTGGTCAAGCGAAGTTTTCTCCCCGAGGGAGATACACGAGCAAAATGTCTTAGCTCCAATGCGGAGATGCCGCATCTCTAAATTTCAACCCTCTCCCTTGAGGGCCGGGAAATAAGAAATACGGCTTCGGAGATATCTTAAAATTTTATATGGCCACATCTTGAAATTTAAAAGGAAATTTCAGCAGCGTCTGAGGCACTAATAGGAAAGCTATAAAGTGTAAGCTTTGAGAATATATTGAGACGAGCCTGGTGTCGTTAAAATATGAACATTTAAGAGCAAATTTCTGTTTCACATTGCGTCTGATCTATGACATAAAATTAATGAATGAACGACTGAGTTTTCTAATTGATAACGTTCTCGCTTGTAATTAGGACGAAAACTTTGGTAACGGTTCAACACATTAGTCGAAAGTTACTCACGTCACCTATTTATTAGTTACGGAAGGCCATTCCTGTGAAATTATATCTTCGGCAATAGTACTCCGGGTTCCCATTAATTGCGAATCGCTCCGAAGCAGATTACACAGCTCCAAAAGGTTTTCCGAACTATTGTAAATCACTCGATTCGTCGCGGGAATATGGGTCTTGTTGCCGGTTCGCTTTAAGGGTCAAATTGGTATAGCGTGGACTAGTTTTAAGGGTAGCATTGTGGTCAACCAATAGGCGCCAGGCGGAATTGCCATTATTACGTGTACTAATTCGCAATCGTTAGTTACTTTTAAAAATAACTAGCGATAAGCTAAAACTTGGCTAAAAAGGCATTGGAAAGCGAGGTCTTGAAAGATGTCAAAACAGTATTGTGTGTGAGTACAAGTGCCCTAAGCGAACACGTTCATTCGATGGGGCTTTTCACAGATAAAATAAAAAGCACAATATTATATAATAGAATTATTCATCTCGTCGCGCAAAGTTAAGCTGTAAATTACATATTCATACGGAGTAATCTTGTGGGGAAGTTCGCATTCACAAAAACCGCTGGCATTAAGATAAGACGTGTGCCATAAACGCCTTCTGTCAAAACGCGGTCGGATATGGGAACCGATGTTCTTATTTTCATTAAGTACATACGCCGGTACGAAAATTCATATTTTAAAGACACTCTAAAAACATTACTTTGTCTTCTTGTATTAGGAATTCCCACGAAAATTAATGACACCACGGACGGCATCGTAAGAGCTCAACCAGTTATCATAGTTAGCACTAAAAGCTTTATCATGTTTACTGAAACAGTCACACATTTTATTTTATGTGTAGATGTGAATGCAAAAAGGACTACGTGCCCAATGCCAGGTTGGACACATCTGTGTGACGTGTTTCACTGATGATTCAAAGCCCTTCGAAAGCCTGAACACATCAAACAATAATTAGAGCTTACAACAAAGTTTATGAATTTTAATAAGGTGTAATAATTAAAGTACAAAACGGTTGATCAACACGTTCAAAGTATACTATGGAACTAATTCCCCGAAAAAATACTTCAAAAAAATTGCCTTCGAAAATCATCCCCGTTGCTAATTAAGTCGACTCCCCTTATTTTTTATAATTTAATGAAAACTTCCCTCCAATCAAATGAGCTCCGGTTTTTTCTATGAAAAATCTGTTACAACAATATTCCTTTGACGTCGCTTAATCTTTAATATTGAATGGCGAAATTTGAAACTTGTTCAATAAGTGTCGTAATGCAAATCTGGCCAAGTAAATAAATAATGTATGAAACTCA